TTTTTTTTTTTTTTTTTTTTTTTTTTTTTTTTTTTTGTGCCGGCGATAGAACTCAGGTCCTTGCGCTTGCATGGCAGACGGCAGAACCACTGAGCTAAATCCCTGGCTATTGTGACTCTTACTCTCGCGTCCACCTTCTGTATTCTATAGTGAACTCAGTTTTGTGTCCCAGTACAGGAAAATGTTATGGAGCCTATCTTTTTTATCTAGCAAATTAGATACAGAAATATATAGATATACTATTCTTCAATAGTAGACAAGGCCAACATATCTCTTCCGCGCCCTTAAAAAGGAGCAGCAGGGCCATTACCCAAGGAAAAAAAAATTGCCAAAGCCAGGCTTCATGGCTCATGACTGTAATCCCAGGATTCACGATGCTGAAGTAGGAGGATCATGAGTGTGAGGCCAGCCTAGGCTACACAGTGAGTTCTAGGCATTCCTGGAATATATAGCAGGACCCTGTCTCAAAAAAAAAAAATTCATGAAATCCCTTAGAAAATGAGAAAAATTTGTAAGGACAGGACAGCAAGGATTTACGTGTCTTGTGTTGGCTTATCGACCTGGTCCTATCCTCACAGAATAGGTTTTAGGGCAGCGTGCCCCCTAGCGCCTCGGGCAAACACTGCAAGAATGGGAGGTCGCCCGGAGGCCACGCGGTCCCAGGTATGCACGTGGCGCATGCGTAGAATACCAGCGCTAGGCTTGGGTAGGGAGAGTCCAAGCATGAGGGGGAGCGCTCTGTGGGTTCATAGCCTGTTTTTCAGCCAAAATAGGGATATGGCCCCTTTCTCTTCTTCTTTTTAGACCGTATATTTATTTAAAACATCGGACTTGAGGTGTGGCTCTGTAGCGAGCGGTAAAGGAGCGAGAATGTTGTAGTGCTTCGGCACCTCTCCCGCCAGGAGGTGGGTTGGACCGTCCCAGGTCGAGGCGCGCGGGGGCGGAAGCGGCGGCGGTGGCAGCGGCGGCTGTCAATGGAGGCCAACCCTGAGGTGAGCACGGCTCGGGTCTAAGCCCGAAGCCGTGGGCAGGGGACAGGGAGCCGCTAGTCCGTGTCAGTTTCTCTCTAAATGCTGCTCTCTGCTTCGTTTCAGGTTACCAACCAGGTGAGTGAGGTGTCTATCGCCCTGGACCCCGGAGTCCTTTCTGTGCTCTTGGCCAGCTTTCATGCAGGCCTCCACTTCTGGGCGCCCACGGATTCTGAGGTTTAACTCGGGAAGCCCCTGGTGTTGGGCTCCGGGCAGGCCGTCGCCCCGCCACCTGGCTCCTGGAGATGCTCGCAGCTGCCTCAGCCTCTCCGCTGGTCCCGTTCGTTGCACGGCTTCCCTTTCCCGGGGCCTCCGGGTCTGAGGTTTGAGGACTCCCACCTTATCTACATTCCTGAACTTCCCCCTCCGCTTTGCCTCTTGTTAGTGCCACATTGAATTATTTTGCTATCCCAGGACCTTCTGGGTGACTAATTTGCCAACACTTCTGACTCCAAGCTTTGTAAACTCGCCCACCCAGTTCAGGTAATTCCATCCACCGCCTGGACTGTGAAATCATCTTCCAGTCATCTCTTGCTCCAGCAATCACCTCTTTCCCCGCCACGCCCCCTCTCGTCCAGTGTCTCAAAACTGGGCATTTTTAAGTTCATAGCTCCCACGCCAATTTTTGTCACCTGTGACTCTTTCAAGTTCGTTTTGGGTGGTGGAGATTGGAATTGGCGAGGGAAGAGGGAACATCTTGTGGGCACTTGATTAAAAAAAGTCCTATGAGATGTATTTTGATTTCTTTGGTAAGACTAGTCTTGTCTCATCCTGGTCTTTTATTTTTTTATTGTCCTCCTTTTATCATATGACAGACTCTTCCTCTAACTCTTCCTTCTTATTACTAAGGAATTGGTTTTTGGTTTTCAAAACTTATAGCAAATTTCTTGTGTAAAGAGAGTAGATAGACTTTATCTTAACGTTAGCAGCAACTCCTTTTATCTTGTGTTTATTATACGTTTTTGAGATGACTGTCATCTACTTATTTAGTAACTAGAAATGTACAAAGTATTATCTTTATTGTACCTATGAATATTTTTGTCCTCATCTTCTGAAATTTGTTGTCCATTTTTTCCCTGACATAACATTTTGGTTCCTTTGTGAAGACAAAAAAAATTTTAAGGCTGAGGAAATATATATTTGCATTTTCTTCTTTATGGCTATAGGAAAGAACCATATTTCTTTCAGATCTAGTCCAAAACTATTTTTACACTTCTGTGAAAAATCAGTTTCCTGTAAATCTGGACTCTCTTCTGTTCTATTGGTGTATGTGTCTGTTCTTTTACCAGTATCACATTGTTTTGATTATAGTAGTTTTAGAGTAAATCTTCAAATCACATAGTATGAATCCAACATTTTTCTTTTTCAGAGTTATTTAGGCTGTTCTGGTTACTTTGTCAATTAGCTTGTCGATGTGCACAAAAAGTTATGTTGTAATTTTGGTGGTGAATCTGCCATTAAATTATTTTGATGGCATCTACTATATATATTTTGCAGAAGAGGAATACTTAATACTATTGAATCTTGTAATCTGTAAAGGAGGTAACTTCATTATTTAATCAGGTTGTCACTAATTTCTTTCATCAGTGTTTTGTAATTTCAGCATGTAGCTCATAGACACATTTCTGTTAGATGTATATTTGTGTAGTGATTGTTAGTGCCGTTGTAACTGATATTATTTTACACTTCCAATTTTGAGTTGTCCATTGCTATATATGGAAAGTCTGATTGATTTTTAGAAAATATATTGGCTGTGTATCCTGCTGCCTTGCTAGGTTTATTTTCTGGTTCTGGTGCTCTGCCCATCTTTTAATAGATGTTTTGGGATTTGCTATATAGACAATCATATTCTCTATGAATAGATTGCTTTATTTCTTGACTATTGCACTGGTTAGGACCTTACATAGAAAGTTGAATGAGATGGAAAGAGGGATGTCTTTGTCTTATTCCTGTTGTCAGTGTGAAAACATTTACTCTTTCACTATTGAGTATGCCTGTAGGTATTTGGTAGGTACTGTACTTTTTATCAGGCTAAGGTATTTCCCAGATTTTTCTCCTGCTTTGTTGAGATTTTCATTTTTATTATGAATCAATGTTCAGTTTTTCCCAAGTGACTTTTCTACATCTTTTGATATGATCATTTAAGGAAGAAATATCAGTTCTACAAAAACATGAGAGAGGGAAGACACCAACTCATTGTATAGGTAGCATTACCCTGCCACCAACACTAGATAATATGGGTGTAGGAGTCTTTAACAAAATATTTGAAAGTATAATAGGACAATAAATATATAAAAGGATAATAGATCATGAATAAGAGCTGCTTATTTGACATTGCAAAAATGGAGTTATTAAAATTGTATAAATAGACAAATAATTTTCTAAATGATATTTAATTGTTTTAATGACATTCAAACTTATGTAGTTGCTATTATACCTTGGTGATCTAGATACACTATAAAGTCCATTCACTCATTCACGATAATTAAATAACAATTGAAGGGCATCTTTTACAATACTAGTTGTTTGAACAAGAACTGGTTATGCTTTGGTGATTAAAATATCTTTTTTTTTTTTTTTTTGCTTTTCAGTCCAGTGGGAAGACAAATCATTAGCAATTTTTATAAGTGCTATGAAAAAATTAAGATGTGAGAATGAAAGTCTAGTAGGTTGAATAGTTAAAGTAGGTCTTTCTGAAGTGACAAAAACAGAAAAGCTGTTATTTAGTTTATGATTCTGCACTACATCTAGCAGGCTTTGGAATGATTTAATTTTTTAAATCTTTATTAAAGAAATGAAGTGCTTTTAGTGGGAGAATGGAATATATCTACTTGAGAAGTGGTTAGTTTTAAACAAAACTTGTTATTGTTTTTTCATTCTCTGTTCTGTGTAGAACAGAATAGAAAATGAATAGACAATTAACTGACTTAGGATTTGGGAAATTACTAAATACTAGTAACAATATCCATCCCCATCTGTACTTACTTCCTCAACTTAATGGATTGATTCATAAGACTTTCTTGATCTCGATTTCATTATTTTACCATCTGGTAGTTGTGTGCATTATTGCATTTACTGTTAGTCTGAGAAAATACTGTTTTTGCTGTAATTTTGCCTGGTATTATATAAGAATGACCATCACATGTCTACTATATGCAAATTAGTATTAATTGTTAGAGATTAGCTTGTAACCAAGTGTCTCAGTCGATGTGAGCAATGTGTGCTGTTAATCCCTTTAAAAGTCTATCATGCTACAGACTGGATTTATTTAGAAAAAAATCAGTAAAGTGATAGAAAAAAATTATTAAACATTTTAAGCTCACCTTTTTTTTTTTTTTTACAAATGCAGCTAAAAGGGTAAACGTAGCTTGCAGCTGATAGAAAATTACAGATAATTAAATATCAAGAATTAGAATTCATATAGATGTGCAGTCTATTATATGGGGAGTTATATATCCATGGCTATACTAGATTTTCCATATGATTGTTTTGTTTATTTGTTTATAGCATGGCAACATTATATATATTAAATTTTATTTTTTTAGAACCAATGGCTTTTAATATGGAAGCCTCCTATAGTAATTCCTTATGGTGATTTTATTGAAGAGGTAATATTTTTAGTGTAATATCCAAAGGGAAATAAATGCACATTAGCATAACTATTCTATTTAGCTGCTTAGAGTTAGAAAAAGAATGAGCGGTCCGTCATCTGCTGGATTGTCAACATACAATAATTCTCTAATTAGCGGACACCATCTTGGGGAAAAAACATGATACCCTGTACTCCTCTAGCTACTGCTTGGTTTCTGTTCATTGCTCTGTAAACTTTCCACAAAGAATTGTTCTTAGCCGGTGTTCTACCACCATATCTGACATTCTCTTCTATATTCACTCCTGTCTAGCTTGCTCCCACTCTCACCATTTCATAGTAACTACTTTTATCAGGCTTACCACTGATCACCACTTTTCCAGATACAGTGGTCACTTTTCTGTCACAGTTTTTTGATCTCTCAATAGCATTCCTTCCTTCTGAAACATCAATTCTCATCCCTTTTTTGGCTTCTCTGATAATTCTGATTTTCCTAATTCTTTGATTGCTTCCCAGATGTTCTTTATTAGAATGTTTTCTTTCTACTCTCTAAGGAGTTCCTCACTAATCTTTTTTCTATACTACTAATCTTTTTTGTTGTTGTTGTGCTGGGAATTGAACTCATTATTTATTTTCTTGTGCAGTCCCTCCCTAGAAATGTTTTCTGTTATATAGCTTTAATAACATCAGCCACACACAATTGACTTGTGTTTCTCTAAGCCCTGCCTTCACCAAATTGGAAACCTGTATACTTCACTACCTCTTTAGTCTCATCTGAATACCTTATGGACCCTTCAAACTTAAAATGGACACAAATCTGAATTTTCATCCATCTTCCTCTAAATGCTTTTTTTGGGGCAGTACTGGGGACCAAACTAAGGGCCTTTGCACTGAGCTACATCCCCAACCCACTCACCTTTAGTTTTTTTGAGACAGAGGTCTCACTAAATAACCAAGTTGCCTAGGCTGGGCTTGAACTGGAAATTTCTGTGCTTTGGCCTCTGGAAGTGCTGGGATTAGAGGTATACACCACCATCCCCAGATAAACTCATTTCTTCTATTGTCTTTCAAGGGCACTGTCATCTATCCATTTCTCAAAACAATATTAGTCCTCTGATTATGCTGTTTTGAAGGCATTGTGTACAGATTTGATTTCTTGGGTTAAATATATGTTCTTTCTTATTCTAGTTCTGAGACCATGAGCAGTTATCTAACCTCTTTGTACATATCTGAATTTCTTAATTTCTAATAATCCTAATTTTGTAAGATTGTTGTAGGGTTAAATAAATTCCTACACAGGAAATATGCACAACAGTGTCTGTAGTAAGGTATGCACTCCATGAATATTAGCTATTTTTCCTCTTTGCTCATATTCAGTTGATCTGAAAGTCTTTTAGATTCTTCTTTTGTAATATCCCCAAATCTGCCATTCTTGTCATTTCAGGTACTGCAATTCAAGCCACAGTCACCCGTAGTCTGGACAAATGCCCTAGGCTCCTAACTAGTTTTGCTTCTCTCTCTGCATGCCTAAAATCTGTTCTCTGTATATCCTCAAAATACACAAATCACATCTTGTGATTCCCTGCTTTAGACATTCTAATGATCCTCCACTCCTTGTCCTTGGAGAACAAAGCAAGCTTCTCACCATTGTCAGACGAGGTGCACTGCTCATCTCTGCTAGTGCTGTGTTGCAGTCTTGAATGCCAAGCCTGTTCCTGCTTCAGAGTCTGTATTTGCTTATCCTTTGAATCATTCTTCTCCAGGTTGCTTCATGGCTGCTTCTTTTGTCATCTGTGGCTCAACTTCAAGTCATCTCAGTGAGTCTTCCCTTGATGACACAGCTGAAGTGTCTCCTTAAATCTGTACTCTGTCATCCTGTGTTATTTTCCTTATAATACTTCCTACCTTGTGGAATGATATTGTTTATGTGTTTATTTTTTATCTTGTTTATCACTAGAATATAAATTCTGTGATAATAGGGACATGTCTACATTATCAAGAATGATTTCTGGTCTGTAGGGGCCTCTTAACTGATAGTTTTTGAAGAATGAAGACATATACTTCTGCTTTTCTGCTCCAGAAAATCTTTCCCAGAATTATTTTTAATGTGGTCATGAATCTTTTACCTAAATATTTTAGGAGTATTCTAGCGCAAAAGGTGGTTTTTCAGTTTATAATAATGAAAATAATATATAGACAAATTTCCTTTTACTGAAACAAAGTTTATTTTCTCATAACTTCTTCCAGACATTTGTCAGCCCTCTTAGTAAAAAATATAGAGTAAATCTAATCGATCTACTTCAATATTACTAAAAAATCTGGGGCCAGGGATCACAATAATTAAAATCTTCTCTGAACATGCCCATAATCTTTAGCTGTATGTCTTCCAAAACATCGTTGGTCCTGTACCTTCCTTGGGGCCCCCATCTCTTTGTCACCGGCCTTTGTAAAATAATGCCTTCCAGGGCTGATAGTTTAATCCATCCTGAATCATCTTATTGGATGCAATGGGGTATTGTTACATTATCTTGAATGATGCTTCTTTTAAAGCAGAGTAGCATTGCATCATTTTGTTATAGTTTGTGATTAGTCCATATTGAGCCTACAATGAAGTAAACCTCTTTTTTTCTTAATCCCCACATAAAACATTTTTAGTGTTTTCCCATTCTGGATTCAGAGAATTTTATTTTTTATTTGTGTTATGTTTTATTTAATCTATTAAAATTTATTTCTGCTAGTTTCTGAGTTGTAATTTCTCATTTAATTATTCTGCTGCTTTTTTAAGTAGCAGTTACTACTACTATACTTTTCCCAATAGTATAAAACAATTAAGTATAATTTCTGTCATAATTCAAATAATAAATTAATAAGAGGATAGGATCTGTGTCTGCCCTGAGCAGATCATTAAAGATTGGAGAGGAGCTGAAGGGGAGAGGTGGCTCAGTGGTAGAGCTTAGCTAGGTTCAATCTCTAGCACCAAAAGAAAAGAGAAAACAAACAAAAAACAGAAGAAGAAAAGCATAAAAAGATCAGAGAAAGTGGCTTTAGAACAAATTTGAAAGGAAAATGAAGTTTGTATTTTTAAGTTTTTGTTATTTGAGTCTAACCTTTAAAATGAGGAATTTATTGTAAGTTAAAGATAGGGACTGAGAATTTTTTTTTTTTTTTACATAGTGAGGTCTAGTTTGTATGTAAAAAACTTGGAAGGAATTGATAGTTATAGACCCTTTTAGAATCATAGAATTTTAAAACATTTGCTAATTCTTCTATGGTGACATAATTTATAAATTATGTTTCTCCATTGGCCAAAATTTTATAGGCATTATGAAATTTAGTGAGCTCATCAGCATTTTTTTTGTTTATTCTGTACTTTATTGCCTAGCATTTAAACTAGAAAATCCAGAAGAATAGTATTGAAGGTTATAAGTCTTTTTCCTGTCTGATGTAAACAGCATACTTTTAATTGTGTACCATCTCTAAAAAAGAGTTATCCATACATATTTATTTTTGTGAATAGTCTGGATTTTGAAGGGGTACTGTGTAGGTTTAAGACTGTCAAAAAACCCCAAAAGATTCATTTTGGGTTTTCTCTCAGTTTTGTAAATATAAATAAAACCACATGTCAGGGTTTTTTTTGTTTTTTTGGTTTTTTTTTTGTACTGGGGATCGAATTTAGGACCTCACACTTGTAAGGTAGGTGCGGTACCACGGAGCTAAATCCCCAGCCCCCATATATGTCAGTTTTGTTTTATGATTTAGAAGTTATACATAGCTATTGTACAGATAACCAGATAACACATTTTTAAAATACTAGGAAACAGTTGGGTTCACACCACCCAAATTAACAATAATTTACATTTTAGAAAAGATTTTCTTATCTTAGATTTTCCTATGATCTTTTAAACAAAATTTTTTTAATTATAAAAGTAGAACATTTTCATGTCACATTTTTCAAAAAAGTGTAAATGTTCAAAACTCATCTGTTCTCCACTTCCCAAAGGTAGTTACTCATAACTGTTTTCATTCTTTGTAAATACATACGATGATTTCCAATAAGTTTGACTCATGGGAGTGTAGAGCCAAAGGATGTAACTAATTTATTTAGTAGATACGAACTGATCAGGTTTCTTTATAATGATCTCATTTGATTGTGATAGGAGTAAAGAGTTAAGAAAAGTATTATTCTTATTAAAATGTCATCATTTTTGAAATTTAATTTAATGTAGTATATAATCATTCTTTGTATCCTCGGTTTGATATCTGTCAGTCTCACTACAACCTTTGCCTTTGGATTTTGGTACTTATACTTGTTAGCATTGGCCAACATGGAGTAGGTTTGCAAAGCAGTCCCTGAATTACGGATTTTTGCCCAAGTTACTTTTTCACTAAAATATTTATTGCTTTTAGTTTGCAGTACAAATGCAGATTTACTCTGTCATTTGTAACATTTTGTATAACTTTATAATATGAATTTGTGGGTACATAAAATTAACAAATTTAAATCCTCAGGTTAAGGGTGAGGTTACTTTTCCTTAATTATACCATTTACAGCCATCAGTGCTATGCAAGTAGTATTCAGAATTGATTAAATAAATGACAGGTTTTAGATTATCAGTCAAATGTCTTTCCTACCTCTTTAGTTGGTACAAAAAGAAATACTAAATGTTCATCATGAACATAGGCTTAATTGACATGTCTATTAAAATAGAGATGGAGGGCCAGGGATTTAGCTCAGCGGTTTCGCCGTCTGCCTTGCAAGTGCAAGGACTCATGTTCGATCCCTGATACCAAAAAAAAAAAGATCATAAAAAGATGAATAAGAATTATTTCCCTTGACTTACAGTCAATTTTTATTCTTTTTGGTTTCTAGATAGAATTAACTATTGGGAAGAGCACAGAGTAGGAAATTTGGAAGAAGTAGAAAAAGGAAAGAGAAGTATTTAGGAGTAGAAGTTTATTGCTTTATTAAGATTTGAAGCCATGAATAGGAATCAGATGAAGAATAGATAAGATAGAAGAGTCCACTGACTTCCATAGCCTAAAACTGTTGTAGGCCGTGTAACTTGGCATAGGGAAAAACCTAGTAGATACTATACATGTTCTACTATGAAAGGTTCTTAAGTTGAGGACATTTCTGGTGAAATATGTCTAGCACCTTTTTTTGACCAATAATATTGACCATTAAAGTAGTGTCTCTTCTATAGGCAGAGACATGAAAGAATATGGGGAATAACCCTTAAACAGGCAGGGCTTCCCTAGTAAACACTAATTTTGTATGAGATGAATATTGTTCTGTTTGGCATCACCTCACTGATTTTGCAAGACCTCATTTAATGATCTAAATGCATTTGATTATTCTGGGAGAAATGCCTAAAACAAATTTTTTTTTTTTTTTTTTTTTTTGTGGTAGTAATGGGGATTGAACCCAGAAAGCACTGAGCTGCATCATAACTTTTTATATTTTATTTTATTATGAAACAGGATAATTGCTAATTTGCCTAGGCTGGCCTCAAATTTATGATCCTCCTGCTTCAGTTCCCAGAGTAGCTAAGATTAAAATGTGCAGACAAGGGCCTGAGTTCGATCCCCGATTAAAAAAAAAAAACAAAAAAAAGTGTGCATAGCCCATTTCTCCTGCCGCTAAGTCCAGCATTTTTAAAATTTTATTTTAAATATTTCAGGTAATACTAGACCTGAAGATGCCAGTTATTTTGCCAAACGTAAGAGAGGCAATGAACTTGAATAGAATTGGAGGCCAGTTGTTTACTTCCAATTTCCAGCGTTTTCTAGTGTTCACACAAGTCACTGGGATTTTTTTCTTCTGCTTTTGTTACCCTTTTCTCATTCATGTAATTCTTAGCTACCTTATGTATCTGTTTTTAAGTAGGCATTATATTTTTAAATATAGGGTAGACTATATTGATCTTCTACTGTACTAAAATAATTACTTATTAACAAGAATTTAGATGCATTTCCTTAAAATTAAGGACTGGAAATGAGTTCAACATGAGTTTAGCGTAATTTAGTCAACTTGTATTTGCTGAAGTCAGATTACATTCAACCCAAAGTAAAAGATTTTGAAAACAGGGAGTTTATTTTATATGTTAGAAATTTTAAGTGTTTATATGATATAAATAAATTGTTATCTCTTTCTACTCTATTCGTGGAAAAGCTGCTTTACTGCATCCCCTCAATTTATCATGGTATGATTGACAAAGATTGCGTGTACTTATGGTATACACCTGATGTTTTGATGTGTACTGCTTTATTCCATATTACTGAATTTCAGTAATGTTTTTATTACTTTTTCTTTTTTATATTAGAAACAGGGTATGTACTTGTTGGTTATTTTGCTGTTAACACTATAATGTTCTGTTGTTGTTGTTGTTGTTTTCTTCTACCAGTTTCTCAGACAATTAGGTCTACATCCTAACTGGCAATTTGTTGATGTATATGGAATGGATCCAGAACTCCTTAGCATGGTACCAAGACCAGTCTGTGCAGTGTTACTTCTCTTCCCTATTACAGAAAAGGTAATTGCTAAATAAAATTTAACTTTTATAGTAAATATAAAGTTTGTTATTGTTGAGTTAAAAAATACAGTCTTTAAGAACAAGTAGTACCCTTATTGTATAAAATTAGGCAATCTAGGCACTAAAGGAATCTTGATGTTTTATTAAAGAAATATTTACATTTTTATCTATAAATTGACAGTAAAGCCATAGATGGTCCCCCCCCTTTTTTTTTTGCTCTGGGGGAACAAACTTGGGTCCTTGTGCTGTGAGGTGGTGGCACCACTGATCTAATTCCCCACCCCCTATAGATCATTCTTTTAACCACAGATGGTTTCTTTTTTTTTTTTTTTTGGTACCAGGGATTGAACTTGGGTCTTTGTGCTTGCAAGGCAGGCCACCAAACCGCTGAGCTAAATCCCCGGCTAGATGGTTTCTTTCTTAATGGAATAATGGTTAGTTTAGGCCAGAGATATCTTACTGTAATGGTGCTTGCCTATCATGTATAAACTGGGTTTGATCCTCAGCAGTGCAAAACAAACAGACAAATAAAACAGTTATTTTGCCTGTGTTACGATGTGACATTTAAATATATTTTGATGTATATATTTTAGAAATTTTAAGTATTAGAATAGTCTTAAATCTGTATTCTATATATATATATATATATATATATCAATAAAAATACTAAATTTTTCAAAACGAAGTTACTAAAAATATATCTATAAAAATAAATATATATACTATAAAAATAAATGCTTTTTAAGAAGGTAGGGGAAACTGATGGCATGGGTTACATTTTAGAATAAACTTGACTTGCATAGACATCATTAAACTTAAATACAGATTGGCAGATTTAGGATGTATTGGGGATTATATATAGCTATCCTTAGATCTGTATATTGAAATCCAACTCACAGTCCTCTCTTCTAGAATGATTGTGTGTGTGTGTGTGCATGTGTGTAATGAATTCATGAATGTAAAATGCATTTTAAAAGTGCTTTTGATTCTATCTCCTTCTGATTTTCATTTTTAACCTGAGAAACAGTAATATGAGTTCAATGTGTATAAAAACTAGAGAATAAATCCTTGGGAAGATGTAGGAGAAATGAGGTGCTGATGACTCCATGTTGCATATTCAAGTAGTCCTATTCTTCTGAAATAAAGCCAAATCACAGAAATTAAGAATTAAGCTTGTTCAGTCCTAGAAATTAAAGGATCATTTTCTTTGGGCCACAAGCTAATTAATCTAACTTCAACATAAATAACATTGAAAATTTTTCTCTTCAGTTTTAAGGGCTCTAGGAAACAAAAAGGTAAATGATATTTCCTTAGATTTGTTATTTGAAATATTCATAGACATTTAGAGTTTCTTAGAAGTGGTTATCATTAGACCAAACTCTTATTTTTAATGTTGAAGTTGTGATTATTCTAAGACAAAAACTTAAGTTTACTCTTATTCCAGTGTTTTTATTTTTTTATTATAATAATAAGCCAGTAGATAACTATCCCAGTATTCCAATAAAGAGTAGTAAAGAGGGCCCCGGGATTTAGCTCAGTGGTTCTGCTGCCTGCCTTGCAAGCTCAAGGACCCGAGTTCTATCTCTGGTACCAAAAAAAAAAAAAAAAAAAAAAAAAAAA